GTGATGGTAATACCGGTGAATGTCAAGAGATGATGGTGTGGCATGATTATTACTTGTCATTTATCAGACCAAGGCTGGACATTTTCCAGGTCTTGCTACAAATGGACACCAACTGCTTCAGAGTCTGAGGAGTTGCGAATGGTAGAAGGTCATTGATGAAGCAGCTGAAGATGTTTAGACCTAGGACAGGACCCTGACAAACTGCTGCAGAGATGTCCTGGAGCTGAGATAATTGAGGTCCAATAATCACAACCAACTTCCTCTGTGCTAGATGTGGCTCCAACCAATGGAGAGATTTCCTCCGATTCCAGTTGACTGTAATTTTGGCGAGATGTCTTGATACCATAGTCAGTCAAATGGCTGCCTTGAACCAGGACAGTCACTGTCTCATGACATTTCTTAAAAATAGGTTCCTCAGGACAAGGTCAAGTAGTTTTTTTTACTCCCCTCTTATTGGTTCCCTCACCACCTGCTGCAGACCCGAGTGTAGCAGCTATGCCCTTTAGGACTCAGCCTTCCAGGTCATTAATGGTAATACTGACCTTGACCCCTGACTCCGGCCCACAGTCCCCAGGCCTCAGACTTTGACCCTGTCCCCAGTGTCCAATACTGGAACTACAGGTTGGCTTGAGAATGAGGAGGTGGAGGCTGGACTTCAGCCCTGATTCTTGATGGAGGGGTGTGGGCAAGGTGGGTTTGAAAGACTGGATGGTGCGGTGTTGGGGGGTGGGGGGGGTGTGGTGGACTGTCAAAAGAGGCCCCCTCCCTCACTTACCCCATTCCCAACAACTGCTCTTGCAATAAAAGGTGCTGGGCTCTGAGCTTGGCATAGGCCTGCCTTCTGCTGTTGATAAAATGGCGACTGAGACAATTAGTTGACCACATGAGGGATTCAGTCGGTTGAAGTGGGAGGGGGTGGGGAGGGGGTGGGGAGGAAGTTGGACTAGGAAAGATGCCACTTGCTGCATTTTATGACAGCTCCCCCCCCCCCCCCCCCCTCCCCCCACTCCCTGGGAGTAGGATGGCCCAGGCCATTACCTCTGTTTCTCTCTGTATGTTACAGTCAGACCTGCTTTTCTGCTTTCATCTCTGTTTGTGGCCTCTTAGTGGAATGTAATCATCTGTCATTTCCAGTAACTGACATTTTTGCCAAAATTTAACTGAATGAAAACTGTGCCAAATTTGCAGGAGCCAAACACAAGTTGCCGTATAGCCTTAGGATGTTATCCTGCTGGTTTTCTGTTGTCACGGCATCTGATTGCATTTCGGACAATCCTTGATGTTGTTTTCCTTCCAGATTATTTCCAAAGATTTTTCACTTCCAAGAAAAGCAGTTTTATTTTCTGACATCTGTTCTAAATTTGCTTCCTGGCGCTGACTTCCTTTACGTGGTATGAAGCAATTAGCTTTGCTTTATCTGCAAAGTTCAGCTTTTTTATTTACTTACGGTTTGCCATCACAGCCCCCTTTCTTGACTGTAATGTAAAATGTATGTAATCTTCACAATTCTCTGCTTACAGTCGGTCTCACTGCTACTTCTGTGTACTCTTTCTAACATTGAACTTGTGAGTTTAACTTGTGTAGATTTTCAACAGGAGGTATAGACATACGCAATGTAATGTACAGAAAGGCCCAGTGCAAGCATTAGGCCTGCTGCAACCTTATGGTGTATACAACTTCACCTTCTTTATTGGGGTGTAGGTGTCCCACACCTCATCGCCCTTAGTAATGACCCGCCTTCTTGAATAGCTGCAGTCCTTCTGGGATAGGAGGGTTGTTGTAGGGTTCCAGGGTTCCAACCCAGAAACACTGTAAGAAACGCTAATGTTGTCGCAAGTCAGGATGGTGTGTAGCTTGCAGGGAAATTTTCAGGTGATGGCGGCCCCACCTATTGTAGGTGGCATGATGGCTCAGTGGTTAGCACTTGCTGTCTCACAGTGCCAGGGGACCTGGGTTCAATTCCACCCTCGGGCGACTGTGAAAACTCCACAGAGACATTCTCCCCGTACCTGCATGGGTTTCTTCCGGGTGCTCCGGTTTTCTCCCACAGTCCAAAGATGTGCAGGCTAAGTGGATTGGCCATGGGAAATGCAGGGTTACAGGGATAGGGTAGGGGTTTGGGTCTGGTTGGGGGTGCCTTTGGATAGTTGGTGTGCTCTCAATGGGCCGAATGACTTCCTTCCACACTGTAGGGATTCCACGATACACCCAGTGACACGCTTTATTGTCACTCCTATATCACTCCTATATCACTGATCCCTGCTTCCCAACATCTTGTGCATCTGGTGGCAGCTACTCTGAGTAATTTTGTGAGACTCTTTTGAATGAGTCACCGTGAAGTCCAAACAGGAATCGAAATAAACCTTTGTATAAGCAGCCGAAATGATTCTGAGCAAATGTTGTTCTATTGTATTGGTTGGTTCAACATTTGCAGTTAACAGTGTTATGTTTAATTAGTGCTGCATCTGCAAAACAGGTCTGATGTCTTCTGCTAATTTATTGATGTATCCTCTGTTTCCACAGCCCCCTGTTTTTATGTCATTAGCTAATTTGGCCAGGCTGTACATATCTGGGCAGTTCTCTGGATCAGGGACAATATGTGCTCAAGCACTGAACACCTAGAGATTCCACTCAATATCTTCCGGAATTACACTTCTCACAACTGAAAATGGTCCTTCTTGCAATTACCCCGAAATGCATCAGGAAACGTAGGGAGCAGGCGAGCTGTGAGGGGACATGATTGAAAACGTAAGTGGACAATGAGTGAGAGATGTTTTGAAGAGGTTTTAGAAGGTGCTGAGAGAAGTAGTGACAGTGAACGTAGTTCCTAATCAGGTCAGTGCTTGACTTGGCAGGGAACAGATGGACCAAATCAGGCCACTCGGCCCTTTGAGCCTGCCCCAACATTCAATAAGATAATGACTGATCTGATTTTAACCTCAATTCCAGCAAATTGCCAGTTGCTTGCATGTGGTCGTGTTTCCATGCGCTTGCTGTCTTTGTCCTTCTTGGTGGTAAAATGTCATGGGTTTAGAAGATGCTGTCAAAGGAGCTTTGGGGAGTGCTTCAATGCATCTTGTAGATGGCACACACTCCTACTGCTGTGCGCTAGTGGTGGATGGGATGCCTATCAAACTGGCTACTTTTTCCTGGATGCTGTTGAACTTTTTGAGTGTTCTTGAAGCTGCATCTATCCAGACAAGAGGAGAGCATTCCATCACAGTCTGGATCTGGACCACGAGTTGAGAGTTTGCAAAGTCAGGAGATGTTGTTGAGTTAACACAGTGTGGAGCTGGAGAAACACAGCAGGCTAGGCAGCGTCAGATGAGCAGGAAAGCTGACGTTTCAGGTCAGGACCCTTCTTCAGAAATGGGCAGACTTCACAGTGGGGTTACAAATCACTCAGATAGCAAAAGCTGCAGTTGCTGGAGTCAGAGATAACACAGAGTGGAGCTGGAGGAGCACAGCAGGCCAGGCAGCATCAGAGGAGCAGGAACAGAAACAGGAATTTCTGAAGAAGGGTCCCAACCTGAAACGTCAGCTTTCCTGTTCCTCTCCCTTCGCCTGAGGCATGGTGAACCCTCAGGTTAAACCAACACTAGTCATCTCTGTCCAATGAGAGAGTGGCCCTACAATCTGGTTAAAGTATGGCAACTTTACCTTTACTCACTACAGAGTTCCCAACAGCTGGTCTGCTCATCCCACAGTGTTGGTATGATGATGAGGTTAATGAGAAATTACCAAAGTGTGAGAGGATGTTGGCTAAGGCCCAAGTACCAATGTTGGGTAACTCTATGCAAGTAGACAGGATCTGGCAAAGGGGGGTGTGGGCCCTAGGAGATTCTGGAGGTGGAGGGGTGCGAGGCATCCAGAGGAGATGAGGCGAGGGGATGGATGGATATCGGTGATGCGAGGCACTTGAGAATCTTTGTGCTGTTTTGGCTATTGGGTGCAAACCTGTGAAGGAGTTGGAATTTGTGTGGAGACAGTTAGAAAACTCTCACCCTGGAGATGACCGAGACATACCTGGGTGTGACCGTGACAGCAGGAAGGGATGGTGATGTGACCAGCAGCCTCTTGGCAGTGGAACAGTCGTCTTGTTAAAGGATTGGACGCGTCTTTTTGAAGGTCAGCTCAGGGACAGAGCCAGGAAGTCATGTTGTACGCCATCAGGAAATCCCCATTTCCGATTTTTTAATTCCGTGCCTGTTGAGGTCCAGGTTAGATCCTGAATACACACGTTCTGTATTTTTAGTGGAAGGCTTTCCTGTGGCGAGAACCTTGTGCTAATGTCAGGCCAGTGCGTAGTTTGCGGTGGAGAATAGACCAACAAGTAAGTCTGAACAAGAGAAGCTGTTATTGTAGGACAACAGGATGCAGTTTATTACATCGTTGTGACTACAATGGGCAGTCCCCAGGTTACAAATGGATTCCGCACATTTGCAAGTTAATTTGTACGCAGTCAGAACACAATGCAGGATGATTATAAAATAGCTGTTTGTAAACATGAGGAAACGTTCGCATGTCGGACTTTTAAAATGAATATTAACACAACCCGTTTGTAAGACCAAGCATTCATAAGTTGGACCTTCTTAAATTGGGGACTGCCTGTACATAAAAGTTACGTTAACTCTTTGGCATATTTAACTGTTAACGACAAGAAGTAGAGACCAGGGTATCTCCAAGCACCCGTCTCATAGATTAACCCTTTCATGTCTGTTGCCTTCTTTAAGGGATAAAGTCTCATCTGCTCATTTGATACCCTCTGTTGTGTTGTGTGATGCTACCACCATGCTCGATTTTGATCAGATCTAGCAGCTCAAAACCTGGCACCTGTGAGTCCCTGTGGGTCATTGGCAGCAGCAAAACTACATACAACTACAGTCTGTAACATTGTGGTCCAGCCAATCCCCCCACTCTGTCAACTCCATCAGGCTGGGAGATCAAACCTGGCTTAATGAAAAGTGCCATCAGGGTCATAGAATCACAGACTTATACAGCATGGAAACAGACCTTTCGGTCCAATTTGTCAATGCCAACCAGGTTTTTCAAACGAAACTAGTCCCACTTGCCTGTGTTTGGCCCATATTGCTCTAAACCTTTCCTATTCATGTATCTGTCCAAATGCCTTTTAAGTGTTGTAATTGTACCAGCCTCCACCACGTCCTCTGGCAGCTCATTCCACTACACACCACTCTAAACAGTGGAAGCTGCAAGAGACAGACAGGTTTAAGTGATCTCACAGCCAATGGCTCAGATCTAAGCTTCCAGCACATACAGTTGTGAATGGCGATGGACAATTAATCAACAACAGGAGGAGGAAAGTCCATAAATATCCCCATTGTCAACAATGGGGGTGTCCTTCAGATCAGTGCAAAGGACAAGGCTGAAACATTTGTATCCATTTTCAGTCAGAAATGCTGAGTGATGACTCATCTCTGCTTCCTGAGGACTCCAGCATCACAAGTGCCAGTCTTTAGCCAGTTCGATTCGCACCACATGATGTCAAGAAATGGTTGCAGGCACTGGATACTGTCAAGGCTATGGTCCCTGACAACATTCTGGCAATAATACTGAAGACGTGTGCTCCAGAACTTGCTGCTCCCCTAGTCTTGCTGTTCCAGGGCCGTTACAACATTGGCGTCCACCCGACAATGTGGAAACGTGCCCAAGTAAGTCCTGTAATCAAAAAGCAGGACAAATTCAACACTAACTCTTAAACCTCATCAGTCTACCCTCAATCCTCTGCAAATTGATCGAAAGTCATCAATGGTGCTATCAAGCAACAGTTGCTCAGCAATAACCTGCTCAGTGACACCCAGTTTGGGTTCCATCCGGGCCACTCAGCTCCTGATCTCATTACAGCCTTGGTTCAAATGTGGACAAAAGAGCTGAATTCCAGAGGTGAGGGGAGAGTGACAGCCCTTGACATCAGGCCTGCATTCGACTGAGTGTGGCATCAAGGAGCTGTAGCAAAACTGGAATCATTGGGAATCCGGGGACAAACTCTCTGTTGTCTGGAGTTATACCAAGCTCAAAGGAGGATGTTGAAAGTTGTCATCTCAGACACATCTCAATCTCAGGACAGAACTGCAGCAGTTCCTCAGGGTAGAATCCTAGGGCCAAGTATCTGCTGCTGCTTCAGCAGCGACAATCCCTCCATCAAGTCCAGATTTGGGGATCTTTGCCAATGCTTGCGCAATATTCAGCACAATTTGCAATTCCTCATATGTAGGGCAGCATCCAGGCTTGGGCTGAGAAGTGTTTTGCATTACACAAGTGCCAGGCAATGACCGTATCAAGCCAGAGAGAATCCAACTATCTTCCTTCGATATTCAATGACACCATCACTTAAGCTCGACAGTATCCCATACTCCATTTCCTACCTTCAACGTTCCCAGCTTTCACCCTCAATGCACAATGGCAGAAGTATGTACCTTTAACAAATTACACTGCAGCAACTCACCAAGATACCACTACAGCATCCTTCAAGCCCGCGATATCCACCATGGGTAAAGCATGGAAACACCACTTCCTCCATCCTGCGTTGAAGTTATATTGCTATTCCTTCAGTGTCACTGGGTCATAAACCTGGAACTCCCTCCTTCACAGCACTGTGGGTGCCCTTATACCACATGGACAGCAGTGGTTCAAGAAAACAGTGTTCCTCCACCTTTTTAAGGACTGTTGGAGATGATAAGACATGCTGCCCTCGCTAGTGATACCCAGATCCGATGGCTGAGTAGAAAATAATTCAAAAGGATGTAAACAAAGGACTAAAACACCTCGAAATCCAAGTCAGGTCAGTAAGCCTTTGTTGAGAGGAAGAAAGTTCATGTTTCAGGTCGATGACTTTTCTTCAGGACTGAAGACAAATGGAAATGCTTTGCTCTTCTTCACAGATGCTGCCTGACCTGTTGACCTTTTTGCAGCTTTTTTTATTCTTATTTCCGTTCTCCAGTATCTGCAGTATGTTGGTTTTGTGCAAAAAGGAGTTTTTGGGATACTCGCGGGATTAATCAGGAGCCAGAGATTTATAAGGCCTGCATCCTTTGAATAAATATGCTGTCACGGAGAGACTGTGTGTCTTGTTTCTTGCTTCCCCATCGGAATTGGATGCAATACTGGCGGAGAAAATGGGATGCAGGTAAACTTACAACATTTAAAAGACATTTGGATAAGTTCATGTACAGGGAAAGTTTGGATGGATATGGGCCAAGTGCAGGCAGCTGGGACTAGTTTAGTTTGGGAAGATGGTCGGTTGGACTGAAGGGTCTGTTTCCGTGCTATATGACTCTATAATTAACACTGTGTTCAAACCTTGCTAAAAATCCAAGCAAGATATCTAGTCAGTGACTGAGAGCACCATTGTCTAGTTTATTTACCTTCCTCCAACTCGTGAAAGGATTCATTTTTTACAAATTTGTTTCTATTTTCCGTTCTTGGGTTTGCTGGCAACTTATTATCCAAATCTACCTGTCCACTGCTTATACCATTCCCACACACACAGTATGTACACCCACCCATGGTGCTTTTGTCTATATCAATTTGACCCAACGGAGTGGCTTGCTCAGCCATTCTAGAGGGTGGGTGAGAGTGAACCACATTGCTATGGTCAGGAGTCATGTGTAGACCAGATAATAATGGCAAATTTCTTTTCTGAAAAGGCATTTGTGAACCGGATGGGTTTTATTTTCATGATCATTATTCATTGGGCTTGCAATTCACTGCAACTTTATTAATTCAGCAAGTTTAATTTTTTGAGCTGCCATGGCAGGAATTGAACTCATGTGTTTAGACCTTTTTTAATCCTGGTCCTGAATAGTACTTCAGAAACATTATTACAATGCCAGTACTCTGTCTTTGCACAGGCTTTTCCTCCTGTAAGACCATTTTGATTGTGCTACATTACGGACTCTCCCCTAACCCAACTTCAAATAGATGCCCTTTTTAAAACCTTTATAAATACAAAGTTAATTGGCATCTACTCTTCTTTTCCTTTTTTTCCCTGAATGTTGTATGTTAGTTCCTGTTATCTCAGTGCTCTTCAACCCGTGTTTAGCAATGCCTTGTGATGATCTCCCCTCACAATGTTCACGTTTTCCCAATCTCACTCTGCAAACTGTGACATGCAACTTACACTTTTTGGGGAATGTGTCTAATTCTAATTCCACTTTCAATTAACCCAAAAGGATGGCCTTAAAATTTTCAAGTGGACAATCTGCATTACAGGCATTAGGTTATACGTTAATCCCATCTTTTCTAGTTACTGTCCTGACAAATCTACATTCATATAGACGTTTTAACTAGAGCTTTGTAGCACTTTTTTTTTCCCCATAGAATCCCTATAGTGTGGAAACAGGCCACTCAGCCCAACAAGTCCACACTACCGCCCTGAAGAGCATCCCACCCAGACCCATTCCCCTACATTTTCCCATGTCTAACCCACCTAACCTAAACATCCCCAGGCACTATGGGCAATTTAGCATGGCCAATCCACCTAACCTGCACAACTGTGGACTGTGGGAGGAAAATGGAGCACCCAGTGGATACCCACACAGACACAGGGAGAACATGCATACTGCACACAGACAGTCACCTGTGGGTGGAATTGAGCCCAGGACCCTGGTGCTATGAGGCAGCAGTGCTAACCACTGAGCCATTGTGTTTTAATGATCCATTGTGTGCTCAAGCTGCTGGTTTCCTGCTGAAACATTAGGGGAATGTTTTAGCTTTGTGCTTATTGTGCGAAGTTTCCAACCGAATCAAGTTGATTCTCGTCTATCACGTAGAGTAACATTTTAGATTAAATTGTCGAATGCGGATGATACAAAATTTGAGCTTACCAATTATTCTTGCTGGTGGAATAGCAAATCCTATAACATGCCCACTTGCATGTTATATAGTTATGTTATATATTACTTGACGAAGCTTATTATGTGGTCGCACAGATCAGTCAGTATGGTGCTGGACCACACACACTGAGTGGTCACTGAGCAATGGACAAACCAGCCTTCGACATCGAGACACCCTGTGAATGGAGGCTCAAAGCAGGAAAAACCTCTGGGAAGTGTTGCCCCTTAGAGACGTGGAAAACCACAAGTCGGCCATTGCAAAGTTTCCGCCTTTGAAGTTGGTCCACCAAATACAACCCAGAGCAGATAATTTGGAACAGGTTGACCAGCAGGCACTCCGTCCCTGGAAATGAGGAAGACGTGTTCGGCCGTGTTAAGGTGCCCATTGTTGATAACATAGTGTAAAGCAACACTGCAGCAACTTATCAGACAGTATCTCCCACTGTCGGATTGATGCACATAAGCTGCTTGCTCAGTGGTGTCCTTCAGGCAAAGACAGCGCCATCCTTACCCAGGCTGCTCTGTGTAAGTGACTCCTGACCTCCAGCCGCATGCTGAACTTTTTATGGTTCTCCCATGTGACCCAGTGAGCAAAAATCCCTGTCGTTTTTCTTTGGAGTAGTGTGCACATGCGAGGCCCCTTGGAGTTTGTTTTAGGCTGGATATGTGCCCGTGGTAATGCCAAGGGTCAACTGACAACTCTGGGCTGCTGCATGGTTGCCCCCCGCCGGTCAGCCACCATTTCATAATGCCAAACACCTTTGCCTTCCAGACTACAGTTCCACTGTCCCCACCATCTCGGGGCAACTGGGGATGAATAATATGTACAGACAGTGACCTCCCTGAATGTATGAATTCTCAATAACCAGGCCAGGCTATGGGGTGTCAGATGGAGATGAAAAATATAACTCGGCAGAGCACTAAGTAGAGCATTTAGTCAATTTTTATCCCTCAACAGTGTTGCTGGAACAGATAAGATGGTCCTTCATGTCATAGCTATTTATGGGATCTTGCTGTGCACATATTGGGTTGATGTGTTTGCTACATTATGATGAGGTGGGGTCAGTTAGTTCAGCTGGCTGGTTTGTGATGAAGAGTGATGCCAACAGCATGGGTTCAGTTCCCACACGGACTGAGGTTAACGTGAAGGACTCTCTATCTCAGTCTCTCCCCTCGCCCAAGGTGTGGTGACCCTCAGGTTAAACCACCACACGTTATCCCTCTCTAATGAGGGTCTCTGGTCTGCTAAGACACTGGCAACTTTACCCTTTTGCATTGTAATGGTGGCTACAGTTTGAAAGTGCTGGATTATGAAGCACTTTGGAAATACTTGAAGTTGTGAAGGATGGTGTGCAAGTGATTTTTTTTTCCTTTCTTGACAGTGTTGTTGATTGTAAGGAATAATCAAGAGACTGACAGTTTATCTGTGCTGACATTTACAGGTAGCCTGAATTTTCTATGTTTAAGTTAGAGTGGCACAGTGGTTAGCACTGCTGCCTCATGGAGCCAGGGACCCAGGTTTGATTCCACCCTCGGGCGACTGTCTGTGTGGAGTTTGCACGTTCTCCCTGTGTCTGCGTGGGTTTCCTCCGGGTGCTCTAGTTTCCTCCCACAGTCTAAAGATGTGCAGGTTAGGTGGCTTGGCCATAGGAAATTCAGAGTTACAGGGGTAGGGGGAGGTGGGGTGCCCTTCACAGGGTTCTTATTGGCTAAATGACCTGCTTCCACACTGTAGGGATTTTATGAATGTGTGTTTTGGTGTTGTGTTGTGTTTTCGCATTTATTATAAACATACACATATATAAACACTCTATCCTTCTGCCTTTTCCACCATTCAGTAAGATCATAGCTGATCTGATCACTCGACGTTCTCACCTACCCCCACCCTGCCAAATAACGTAAACCCCCTTGTCAAGAGCTGTCTAACCCTGCCTTGAAAATATTCAGAGATAGTAGGAACTGCAGATGCTGGAGAATCCGAGACAACAAGGTGCAGGGCTGGATGAACACAGCAGGCCAAGCAGCATCATAGGAGCAGAGAGGCTGA